TGGTGTACGTGATCATTTAAAAAAAACTGCTAAAGTACGTGCTTATGAAAAATTAAAAACAATTACAAGAGATACACCAGCAGAAAATCTTATATTAAAACAAACAACAGATGGACTTTGGAAAGTTGTTATTAAACCTATCAAAAATGAATAAATATATATGTTCGTCATTCTTTTCTGTGTACTTTTTTTCTACAATAGAATAACAGAAAAATTGAATAGATATATTTTGTTTTGTTTTGTTGAATGTATTGAAGTTAACAAATAAATACATTGACATTTTATTGTTCTTTGTTTCATCTAAGTCAACATTTGTTACGTATATATATAGACAAGAAAATCAATTTTATTTCTATTGATTCACTATGGCATATGCACTCATCAGTTTTATTGTATTAGCTCTTTTTATGTCGTCAATTATCGAATGTAGATGTAAGTGAATTTGAATTATGAATTTTGACAAAAAAGATATTTTGAAAATATTTATTAGTTGTTAATTATGAAATATGTGGTCCTAATGAAGAATATAATCGTTGTGGTACACAATGTGAACAAACATGTGATAATATAGATAGATCTCAACACCTGTGTAATCATATGTGTGCTATTGGTTGTTTTTGTATTGATGGTTATGTACGACAAAGTGATAAGAATAGTTTATGTGTTAGAATAAATGCATGCTAAATATTCTTTTTCATTGCAAATAGATTTTTTTGTAAAATATTATCGTATGTTTTTTTTTTGTATATGAAACTTTGATAATATTCTAAAGTGAAATGAATAATAAATACTTGAATAAGGAAAATAAGATTAGAGCTGGATCCAAGTTTATCGACATCCGATAAATACTTTCACAGTACAATTTTTTACACTTTAATTCTATATGAAAATATATATTATTTAGTTTCTTTCATGAACAGTTCCACAAAAAAGAGATTATCTCCAATTCTGAAAAAACAAATAAGTGATTCACAATTCAGTTGGTGTCATTTTGCTTCGAAAATTCGATCAATCTTGCTAAGTATACGTTTGCTTATTGCTGAGATGGAATGCAGTGTTGATGCCAAACGTCATAACTATGGATACCCACATGAGTGCTTTTTCCATCACGATTATACATTTTTACCTTTTTTTTGATAATTCATTTTCCTCTCCATATATTCAGTTACTTTGTCATATATGATTCAACATCCTCTGTGGACGAATTTTTAATAAAAACGAATTCTACTCTCAGCACCCGAGTCTATGGTACGGATCGGATGCCCGATTCGATTACAGAACACTAATCATTTCACAAATCGAAAAAAAGAAAAAATACATTCGTTATTTAATATTAGTAAGAATGATTTGTTTTTTTGTAATATGTTAAATAATTGACGAACTTTCGAATGACATTATATCGATTAATGAAGCAGATAAGAAAAATATCATTTATAAAGTTTATCATAATATCAAAAAAAAAAACAAAGCCTTTCATAAACTCAAAATCAATCATCATTATTTTTCCATTTTATCACAAATGAGTGACGGTATAATTCTTCAAACTCAATTTGGATCATCTCGTAATAATGATCCAAGTATTGTTTCTATACCATCTGCTACATCAATACCATCATTAGTAACAAAAAAGAATAAATATCCTTATCAATATGTACTTTTTGGTATATTTTTTCTTTTTTTGCTTGTCATTCTTATTCTCGTAGCTGTAATTGTTTCAAAAATTGTTACATATTCTCCAATACCGATTGAATCAACAACAACAACAGCATCAACAACAACAGCATCAACAACAATTACTCATCAATCATCGGAAAAAAATGAATTATCTTCATTAGTTGATTCAATTACACTTGAAGATATGCTTATTCATCTGCGTCAATTTCAAAGTCGTGCTATAGGAACAATTTCATTTAATCGAACAATAGATTATCTTACATCACAATTGAATAAAGAAAATAATTTTCTTGTTGAAAAATATTATTTTTCTGTTCCTCAATCTGAACTTGCTGAGTATCCAATGCTTATGGCTTTACCTAATAAATCGAATGGATCCATATTTACATATCCAAAAGATTTTATACCTATGGAACGATCAGCTGAAGCTAAAAATTGGTCATTTATTGATGGGCGACCATTATCAGTTGTTGGACGTTTAGGTTGTTCTTTAGATGATTGGAATACAACAAAAGAAGATGATGTAGCTTTAGTTCGACGGGGTAATTGTACATTTGCACATAAAATATTTTTGGCAATGAATAAAAGTGTTAGTGCATTTCTTATTTATAATGATGGACTAACAAAGGAACGTCTTTCACCATTAAATAATACTCGAGCACCAAGAGATAATACTTTACCAGCATTATTTCTTTCATATGAAGCAGGCATGCAACTTATTCTTAAAAATAGTTCTCGTATTTATATGCGATTAGAATTTCGATCACTTCCACCTACTATTGTAACTAATGTATGTGCAGATACAAAAGTAGGTGATAAGAATCGAACAATTGTTGTCGGTAGTCATAGTGATAGTGTATCAGCAGGTAATGGTTTCTTTAAATAATAATAATCAAGAAAAAAAAAATTATCTTTTTTCGTGTTTTGTTTATTATTAGGTCCTGGTCTCAATGATAATGGTAGTGGAATGGCAGCTACATTAGCAATTGCATTGAATTTAGCTCGTTTACTTGTCCATTCAAATTATGGCATTAATATGCAATCACGTATTAAATTTTGTTGGTGGGGTGGAGAAGAAGCTGGTCTATTAGGTTCAACAGATTTTGTACGTCGAGCAAAAAGTGATGGTACACTTGGATTGTATTCTGTAAATCTTAATTTTGATATGTTAGCATCACCAAATTTTTTTTTTGGTATTTATGATGGTAATGCAGCAGATAATACAACAACTCCAGAACGTGCTATACCTGGTAGTAGTCGAATAACACGTTTATTTATTGATTATTTTCAACGAAATCATTTACCATGGGATTATACAGAATTTAATGGTCGAAGTGATTATGGTCCATTTCTAGCTGAAGGTATTGCTTGTGGTGGTTTATTTGCTGGAGCTGATGATATTAAAAGTCAAGAACAACGTGATCGATATTTAAAAATGTTAGGTTCAACATTAGGTGGAATAGCAAATACAATTCATGATCCATGTTATCATCAAAAATGTGATACATTGGAAAATCTTAATACATTTGTTTATTTACATATGGTTAAAGCTGCTGCTTATGCTATTGATTTTCTTGCACAACTTCAAGATCTTAATCAATGGCTTTATCCATAGAAACTTTCTTTTCTTTTTTTATTCAAGTTTATATTTAATGAAAATTTTTATCAAGAAAATTTGAAGAAAAACAATCTATTATCGTAAATCTAATCCAATATTTGATTTATTTTGAGAGTATCAAGAAATGTGTTTTCTTGAAATAGATCAGAAGTTAGAAACTGAAAAATGTCTTTCAATCTATCAGAAAAAAAAACAACAAGAAAATATAAATAAATTTCAAACAACATTTATGAATTGGAAAGTATCGTTTTTTTTTCTCAATTGTGTGTTTTGTATAATCAATAACGAAAACATTATTTTCTCTTTTTCTGTTTGATAAAGTAAGAAAGAGATATTTGATGCAGTGCGAAGCAGAACATTTTTGTAGCCAATCGGATACGCATTTGGCTTCCACACTTTGGGAATTTTTTCCTGTAACAAAATCTGTACTTGATGTTGCGATGACCTAAGGAACGGTGAGTCGGTAGAAACTCGTTTGAATTTCATCAGAGAGATCTTTGTATCGAGATAATACGAACATTGTTGATTCTTCCGTATAATTTTCCGTTCATTTTCAGTAAGTTCATCAAAAGTTATCGTTTTCTGTTACGATAATTTTGAGACGGGCGTAAAAAAGCTTATTGTAGATGTTGTTCGAGGACAGATAGCGGAATCGTACTCCATCTTCAACATGGACTTGAATGCAAAAGCGAAAGCTTTCCTTCTACAACAAAATCAACGATGAACAGTTATACTCAAAATTATAATATTATCATAGCAAATGAAGAATGGTGAAATATTATACAATTATAGAGCATTGTTTGGACTATCAGTGTATATATATACAAAGAAAACTTCCTCGAGTCTGTTATAATGTAGTATAGTGCTATTGCCACCACTTCAGATAGACCCATAGTATGCTATCTAATTCATTCACATCCAAAAACTAAACAGTATCAATACCATATCGTTTATCTTGTTGTTATCATCAATTAATGACCAGTAAATCTTCTCTATCGAAACGATACATATCCAACAGTATTTCTTCTAATGAAAGAATGATCTATCGACAATATACAGTTTCACCTTCATTAAAATATCATCCTTCATAAACACTGAGAAGTCCTAACTTATCATTATCTATTGATCGACAATGACGTCGATTTGAATTAACTCCACATCTATCAAAAACAATGTTTTTTTCTTCAATCATCTATTCCTCGTCATTATGCTCAAAATTCATTCATGGATAGAATAACAAAATAAAACAGATATTTATCGTTCAATACCATCAATTGTTATACAAAATTCTTTGACAATAATAATTTCACCAAATACACTCAATGAAATCAACATAACCAAATATTTATTTAAGAAGTATTGTTTAAATTTAACCAATTATAAAAGGTAAATTAAACAAAATTCCTATATTTCGTTATTCAATAAGTGAGAAGAGAATAAAGATTATTATTAATTGTGATGAATCGTTCAATGGCAATTTTTACTTTTATTTTATGTCTCTTTGTCTAAAGAATTCAATTTCTTCTTACAATAGATGATTTTATATTTTTGTGAAATTCACATTGCGTATGTCGAAGAAAAATAATAGTGAGTGTATGTTTTAAGTTGAGATTTTGCGGCTCTTCCACTCTCTCATACCAAGGAGGGATGGAATGATTCGGATACGTTATCATAGTAATCAGGAACAACAGGTACCAGACTCTTTTCCTAGAGTTCCCTAGCAATGGAAAAAGACGCTGAACTCTAGTTTGTTACGCTGACAAGCTTTTTTTCTTATTTGAAAGAGTATGTCAGGCTGCAGTATCTGACAGTCTTTCTTTTAATTCTTACTTTTTATGCGGAGGAAAAAGATGACAAGTTCAATATCTTGAAAAGCTATCATGTATTTATAGGAGTGTATTTTTTATATATTAATAAAAAAGCTTAATTCGAAAAACGAGCATTGTAGCTTCACATGCTCGAGAATTCTGGGGTGCGCGATTGGAAAAACATAGAAAGAGAAAAAAACTGAAAAAGATTTTCCATTTTTGTCTGATAGAAAGCATATTTCTCAAATAGAACGCGATGGAAATCATTGAAAATTTTCAAAAAAAAAAAGACGTGCTAAATAAACACTAATACTGTGTGTGAGAAGTCAAATGTCAAGCTATTTTTCTATGCATTTATCTTAATTTCGACATTTTCTGACGAAAATAAACTTTTTCTGAGGGTAATGGGGCTTAAAAAATTTCACCGGAAATTACAACCGGGATGTGGATGTGGACATAGAATGGATGCGTTGTAACGATGAGGCCTGTAGGTATAGGTCTCATCGTTCAGTTCACAGATACTCACATCCATACCTACACCTCACACTCCAGTTTTGTACATCTTTTTTTTCTTAGGTTATTTTTTGATTAACCTTTATTCGAAGACATTGAGAGATCGATCAATGATCGAGATTGGACTATCGCAAAGTGATCTGATCGGGATCAAATCGACTCCATATGGCTGGATCTTAGATCTCATCGTCTTGTCTTCGACGAGTAGGTGTAATAATAGTTCGATTTAAACTTGAAAAATAGTAATTATTCGGTTTTCCAGAAAACAAATAATAGACGTACCGAAAGGTGAATTCAAACTACGTTTTCAGAATGTTTCACAAGTTCGCTGGAAGAAATGTATCGAAACGAGCATCTTGTATCGCAAAATACGATACATGCGATATATGTTTTATTAATATGAATGCATACTAATTGTGACTATATTGTGGCAAGAAATTCAAACTGGAAAAACTGTTGACTTACTTTTGAACAAAATAAATCTTTCAAATACATACTGAAATATAGAAAAAAAAACTTACTTGTTCTGGTTTGGTTGTAGATGTTTTCTTCACCCATATCATCACCTCATTCGACCGATTGTTCTAAATATTTTGCAAAAAATAGATATACTCTCACGTTTTTATATAGATTATTCATCACCATTTGATAGGTCTTGATGAGAACTATCGATTAGTATACAATACAGATTGGATCTATGCATTCCAGTCAACAAAAATTCCTATACCATCATTTAAACATATAGGTAGTGATACTCAGCATAGAACTCTTTTGAGTATTTCAAACAAGAGATATATTCTCTCTCCCCTTTTTTGTGGGTTTCTTAGCATCATTTGGTAGACTTCGTCCAGATCTATCGATTGGTATGACATGACAAAATAGATAACATAAAATTGAATTTTTTAAGGACGAAGAGGGTACGGACGATTTTGCTTCATAATGACCTCCTCTTTTTGGTGAACTTTATTGTTTTTGAAGTTTCGAGATAATTAAAATGAACACCGAATAAAAAAGGTGGTCGCCAGTCTATTCGATAAGCTAATTTTATCCATTACATATGTCAAGACAGCTGATCATAAATAAATAGATTATCAAACGATAATACAATAGCGTTCTTTAGAAACATTTTGATATGCGTTGATAGAGTTCTCGCAGTGATGAATTATGTCATGTCTACTTTTCAATTCCTTTTATGCTTCGATCAGTTTGATTAATCGAAACATGAATATCTTTTCGGGAAAAATGTTTTGTGATAAATTGTAGAAACGATTATTCGTATTTTTTTGAAATATCGACATTCGTCGCTTCACACTGCATTTCGCAGCGGAGTGAAGCTCGAATGCCGTCTATTTATAATTTAAATGTTATAAAACTTTTCATTATTAGATGTTTTTCATTTTTCGAGACTTTTGTATATCAGGTGGTATATTTGCATGTCATAATGATTCACACAGATGTATACGCAAAAGAAATCACAGTTTTTTTGAAACTAAAATATGAAACTCGCACGTATTCTTTGTATCATTATACTAATATAAAATATGTAAAGTGAAAAATCTGTAGCAGACTATAAGTTTTTTTTAAGGATAGTCGATCACTCTGGGCCCGATCTGTCTTATTTATTTCTGCATTCTGTACAGAAATTTTTTCTTTTTTTTTGTTTTGACACGCTGTATTTGTTTTAGTTTGCCTTGCTATCAGTCACTTGTTATTGTTCATTTTCGTATGCCGTTTTTCTTAATTGAACATTATAATTATTCTAACCTTTGATTAAATTGACAAATATCTACCACATACAGCTTTTTTATCTGTGCAAAGGTCAGAAACTGCACTTTAAGAAGATTCATAAATGTATGTCAGCTAGTCATATTTCAACGAAGACTTTCGAATGTTCTAAAAGTTTCTCGAACTATCTAAATGTTGTCGTTAGTACTGTTCTGTGCCTTTTTGCGTTGCTAAAGAAGTATGATGTCCATTGTCCTCGATTACTACGGAAACGTACCAAATGGCCATTGGTCTCGGCTGCTATGAAGGTGAAAGCAGCTGCAAAGCTTCAACTTAAAACGTTTTTTTCTCAAAAAATATATGTGAGTTCTACAATAAAAAAAACTTCTGTTGAATACTATCCGTGTTTCTCAATTACATAAACACAACCAAAACAAAAATTACATAGAAGAATAGATAAAGCTGTTAATTTGCGTGTTGTTAGTACTATAATCATTAATTACAAATAAACAATGAAAATTTCCATTTCATTATTACAGTGTTGCAACAGCAACAATTCTTTTTTTAAATTATGCATCATCATTGATGACTTGAATTTTACTTGATATCTTATCTCCTTTTTTCTATACTTGTTATCATGCATCATGCTTATATTTAAAAGCATACTTCATCTTTCGTATTATATTCATTGAAAATAACTTTGAAGTAAATATCATAAACATTGTTTCTATATTATCATTATTCGTTTGACTTCATTTAGAATAAAACAACAAAAAGACAAAATAATGAAAGTCTTTATTGCTCTTTTACTCATTACTTTGGCTGCGGCTCGTGATCTTTCAACATCACGGTGTTCAAAGTTCTTACATGTTAATGGTTTTTCATCAAATTTTAATGAAACTATTGCTCATGCAATTCATTCAATGACTGTTCAAGGTTTACAACTTTTCAATCCACGTGCTCATGAACATAATAAAATTCCAACTGTTAATCATAATCTTCATGATAAAAATGGAGTTAAAGTTCTTATGTATGCACCAAATGATCCACTTCCATCAGATTATTTTGGTTTTTCAATGAATATGATCGATAAAGTTTGTTTGATTTATACAACACAAGAAAAAACTCTTCATATCTGATTTCTTTTTTTCATATTCCTAGATTCTTGCTATGATTGGTAAATCAGATGATGGTCTTGGTCCTAATTGGTCATCAACAGAACGAATTGCTCATAAATTTCATATGTGGGATTTATGGCTTCGTCTTCAAAAAGAAGTTCGTGAACTTACACCAAAACCAACACCATCAGTTTGCAAATGTGTTTTGGATGTTGAATCAAATGGTGTTCTTCAAGCTGTTCAATGGATTGCTGCCCATTACGAATCAGGTACACCAATTACATTACTTGATCGTCCTATTCCAAAATTAGTTGATTCTGAATCATGGGCTTTTTGGAAAAAGGATCTTCTTCATTATTATACACCTGAAGCTCTTCATGATGCAGCTGTTTATCTTTATTGTGTTACAAAAGATTTTTAGAGCAAAAAACAATAGACTTCGTTTTTTTTTGTCCTTTTGAATAAGTAAATAAATGAAGTATTCCATTGAATATGTTTACTTCTATGTTATTTATCAATAAACTTTTCATCGCGATTTCTTATCATATTTAAGTTCTTGTTGAATATTTCTTTCGAGTTTTTTATTATCTATCACGATGTGAAATTAGATTTATTGAAAAAAAAAATAATTCTTTGGAATTCATGATACTATAGCTTTCAAACTGCGAACAAAAATTAAGTCAATAAATGCCAAAGTGTTCGCAATTTGGAATATAGAAATTTACGTTGATTTCATTTTTAATGCGTGTCCGAATTGTGAACACTTCGATTAATAAGTTATGAAATATTTGATTATGAATTCTGCTCTATTAATAATATTATGAGAACAAAATGTTATACGACATCTTGATCTATGGACATGAATTAATGAAGTGAAATTATCTATAAAATCTTTTGTGTCGTTATGAATAAGAACAAGATAAAGAAGAGACAAATATGGCCCAGGTGATAACAAACTGATGTTACAAAAAAAAAATATATGTATTCAAGATAAAGAGTTTGATGTTTATCAAAAATCTTTAAGAACCTTCTCATCGGTTATATCAACACTAT